CCCCAACACGGGGCTCGAACCCACAACCTCCTGACCTGGATGAGGCATAGAGCTGGGAGTCCTTCTCTGAGCTGGACGGTCTTGGCCTCCTCTGTTATTTCTCTGGCTGTGTTGCGGTTTCCCGGTGGTGGGGAGGGGAGGGTTGGGTGAGGAATGTAAATCAGCCTGTCATCAGCTATTGATCGAGGAATGCAACTCTGCTACTCAGGCCGGGCTTGACGTTCGCTCTCCGCCATCTCCGCCGTTCTTCTCCTTCTCTGCCTTTCCCTGTTTCTCTCTCTCTCTCACTCACTCTCTCTACCTCTCCATCTCTCCCTCTGCCTCTCTCAGATTCTGTCTCTCTCTGATTCTGTCTCTCTGTCTCTCTTAATCGCGCTCTCTGTCTCTCTCTGTCTCTCTGATTCTGCCTCTCTCTGATTTTCTCTCTCTCTCAGTCGCTCTCAATTTTTCGCTCTCTGTCAATGCATCGGAGACTCTCTCTCAGTTTCTCCCTCTGTCTGTTGCTCTGTGCTTCCCTCTCTGTCTCCGTTTCTCTCTCTCTCTCTCTCTCTCGGCCTAACTCTGACCGTCTCGCTCTGTCTGTGTATGTGTGCGCGTGTCTCTCTCTCGATCTCAGTCTCAGTCTCTCCCTCTCTCTTGCTTTCTCTCTCCCATTCTCTCACTCTCGCTCTCTCCGTGATAGGTGGTGGTGGCGGGAGGAACATTGTTGAGGCCTGACAATGCATCTCTCTCCACCCCACCAGACTGCTCACTGCCTCTCCAGACGTGACCACTGTCCCCCAACCTACCCATCTCCCTGTTGCATCAGCTTTATATTTTGCTGACAGGGTTGCAGTACTCTGACGTCAGCTCAGACAGTGCCCAGGGGCAGGGCAGGTATCTAGGCAGCCTCACACAGCAAATTTATTTCGTCAGCCGGGGTGTCTGACACATGCGGAAAGCCATCACCGTGCTTAAAGAGCATCCAATCCAAACCCCTTTGCATCCCACCTGCACATGGCTTGCAGGGTTAACAGGAGCTGAGTGGGATGACTCCCTCCCCCCAGTGACGGGTCTGCCCTTCCAAGTCCTACCGACGAGCCAGGCTGGGCTGTGCTGTCATCACAGAATCCCTGTCACTTGCAGGCACTTTGTGGGTGAAGCCCACTCCCACTTTTACATCCCCCAAATGCCCCATTTGGGGACCGGGTTTTGCTGGGCTCTGGGGCTGTACTGGGCTGGGCTCTGGGGCTGTGCCTGGGTGTTTGTTGGTAGCTTGAGGATGAAAGTTTTGAACTCCCATCCTCTGGGGGATGGGGAGCCAGTGGAGCCGGGGCGAGGGTGGGGCTGATGGGGTCACGGAGCCTGGTGCGGGAGAGGACACGAGCTGCAGAGCTCTGAATGATCTGCAGCTTGCAGAGGACGGAGTTGGGAAGGCCGACAAGCAGGGAGTTGGCGTAGTCGGATGTGGTGAATGCACCGATGAGGGTTTCGGCAGCCTGAGGGGTGAGGCAGTGGCAGAGCCGGGCAGTGTTACGGAGGTGGGGGGGGGGTGGGCGGCAGAGCGGGTCATGGCCACGGATGACATGGCAAAGGTATGTGCAAGACATCTGCTGAATATATCTACGTAAAACACCACGTATTCAGTGATCATCTTACTGTAATCGAAGCCTTTTTTTCCCGTAATGAAGCTACTTATGTCTGTCGTGCATTTTTAACGAGTTTTTAACGGTCGTGTAATGCAGAATAAACACGAGTCATTCGAGTGGATTAGGAAGGATTAGGTGGAGGGGAGCGCGGGCGGGAAAGGAAAGAGGCGTGTATGTGTGTTGTGTGTGTGTGTGCGTGCGTGTGTGGCATGTTTGTATGTGTGCGTGCGTACGTGTGTTTGTGTATGGTGTGTGTGTGTGTGTATGTTTGTGTGTGTGTGTGTGTACACCCTGACTCCGCAGTACAACGCTAAGATCTCTCTCAGACATCTGAACGTGTGGCGCTTGACTGAACTGTAACAATGTTAAAGAGCCGTGTATTTATATTTAATGAGTGTTTGGGAAACGTCACGGCATGATTTTAATGAGCTCAGACAGCGTCCGCCTACCTGCTCCTCCGTCCAACTCCCCCACCCCCTTCACAGCGCTCGCTCACGTCACTGTGTGGCTCTCTTTCTCTCTCACACTCACTCACTCTCTCTGTCCCACTCTCTCATACGCTCATTCTCACTCTTACTCTCTCACACTCGCTCGCTCTCCCTCACGCTCGCTTTCTCTCACGTTGCCTCGTTGTCTCGTATTCACTCCCCCGCTGGCCTCACACACTCACTGTCTCTCTCCCGCTCACTCTCCCTCTTGTTTTCAACGTTCACTCTCTCTGGCACTCACTCACCTTCACTCTTTCTCATGTTCGCTCTCTGACTTTCTCACAATCAGTTTCTCTCACACTCGTGCTCTTCTCTCTCACATTCACTTGCTCCCTCTCTGTTTCTCTGTGAGTGTGCGAGTGATTGTGTCAACGTGAGTGAGTGATCAAGCGAGTATTGTGTGTGTGTGAGCGAGTTTACAAATGAGTGAGGGTAAGCGTGTGAGTTTTGCGTAAGTAAGCGTGTGCAACTGTGAGTGTGAATATGTGTGAGCGTAAGTGGATGAGTGAGCGCGGTTGATAAAGTGCGCAACTGGAGTCCCGTAGAGTAGTGGTTAATACGCTCGCCTGGCAAGCGAGAGGACCTGGGTTCGATTCCTGGATCGGGATGAAACCTTGGGCAAGTTTCCTCACTCCGCACACCTCTGTTTACCTAACAGTAAGCAAGAATCCGGTTGTTAGTCGAATGACGGATCGCTTTTCGGGAAGTAATAATCCCTCAAGAAAAAAAAAGCTGGTCACTCGTTCCACGACTGCAACCCTGCTGTGCGCAATCCATGTTACAGTATATTGTGTGCCTTCAGCTCCCCTCTTGACTCTCTACCCCCTCCTCGCTCCCTCTCTTCCCTCCCCTCCTCGCTCCCTCCCTTCCCTCCCCTCACCCTGACCATTTCTCCCCCTGCTCGGGTCCTGACCCAACTGTCCAGCGCCTTGGGACGTCCTCCCGACGTGAAAGGCGCTCTATAAATGCAATCTTGTTGTTGTTGTTGTGTGGACTTCGGGCAACACAGAGATGGAGCGGTGAGGGGGTGGTGGTGGGCGGGGGGGTCAAGCGGCCTTTGACAGCGGAGCTGAGGTTTTCCCCCTGCCGTCTCCCTCGCTGTGTGGTTCACACACATCATTTGAGGGGATCATTACTCAAGGTAAATTGAGAGGCAGAAGAGTGGCTCTCCCACTCAGGTATCCCGAAAGCTGCTCTGTGTTCCATTAGGGCAGCAATTACAGGTCAATTAACGGTATATCGATCGGAACCAGTTTAATTGAGGGAACAGATTATGGTCCTCTCCTCTATGGAGCGCCGTACAAGAGCCGGTGGCTGTGAATGGCTGACTCAGGCTCTCTGTGACTCACTCGCCTTACGCTCCCATCCATCACATGTTAATAAAACCACCAGTTTTAAAAGGCAATTAAAATGCTAATATATTTAAGGCCGTTTAATGCTCAAATTACATGGGTCGCAACGGGTGCGTATAATCTCCAAGCACGCAGCTCGCAGGCTCCGAATTCCAGCCATTCTCGGCCTGCTGCCCTGTTTTTCCTCTCAAAATTATACCCGGCGTCTTACTTCAGAAGTTAAGAGTCCCGTTAGCTTAGTGGTTAAGGCGCTCGCCTCGCAAGCGATTCAGGCTTCGATTCATCTGAGATTTGTCCTTTATTCCTATTTTACTCACTGCTCCCTAAGCCCTACACTCTACAGAACTCCTCAACTCCATCGCTCTTCCCTTTCTCCTGTCCTTTGTGAGCGTGTGTCTGTGTGAGTGTGTCGGTGGATGTGAGTGGTACGTATCTCTGTATGTATGTGTGTATCTCTGTGTGTGTGTATATCTCAGTGTTTGTATCTGTGTCTGTGTATCTCAGTGTGTTTATTATTATTATTATTATTATTTGTGTGTGTATGCCAGTGTGTGTCTTTCTGTCTGTGTCTGTGTATGTGTCAGTGTATTCTTCCTCACACTCCAGAATAGCGTCTCTGTCTGTGTGTATCTCTAAGTGTCTGTCTGTGTGTATCTGTCTGTGTGTCTGTGTTTTTCCTCACACTGCATAATACTGTCTCTGTCCGTGTGTGTCTGTGTGTATCTCAGTGTGTGTGTCTGAGTGAGTTTGACCTTGTTGCATGCAAAATGACAGTCAAACCCACAGTGAGGAGACATTTGACATCAATTACTGTGAGGTGATAAGGTGCTAAAAGCAGTGTGTGGCTTAGCGTTTGAGAGCCGAGAGGTGATCTTTGTGGATCTGTATTTAATAGAATCAATAAAGACAATAGTGTGTGGTGAAGTGTGATGAGATGGTGTGCGTGATGTGTGGGGTGGGGGGATGGGGGGGTTTGGGTGTGTTTGCGTGCGTGCGGGTGGGTGACGAGATGAGATGAAATTGCGTGTGTGTGTGCAAACTGTGTGGTTTATAATAATATAATCCTTGCATTTGATACAGCGCTTTTCACGTCTTCTGACGTCTCAAAGCGCTTCACAGAATAGACTGTGAATTGACTGTATATATGTGGGCGATGTCTAGTGGGGGGTGGGGGGGAGGGTGGTTTGAGCCCCATGTCCAGACTTTGAGCTCACAGTCCAGTTTGACTCTCCAATGCTGGGGGAGAGCACTGCATTGTCGGAGGTGCCGTCCTTGTGATGAGACGTTAAATCGGCGGATCACTTTTCCGGGGGTAATAAGCCCTTCAGTAATAATAATAATAATAATTATTTAGTCACTCAATCCACAATTAACTGTTAGTTCTGCTCCGGTCTCACTGTCTCTCTCTCTCTCTCCTTCTCTACCTTGCAGTACTCCGAGATGACTTCCGGCAAAATCCCACAGACGTGATCGTGGCTGCAGGGGAGCCCGCCATCCTGGAGTGCCAGCCCCCTCGCGGGCACCCAGAGCCCACCATCTATTGGAAAAAGGACAAGGTTCACCTCAACGACCAAGACGAGCGGATTTCAGTGAGTATCCCTCAGTCGTATTCCTGTGCGTGTGTGTGTGTCCCTCAGTCTTATTGCTGTGTGTCCCCCTCAATCTGTTTTATTGCTTTGTGTGCGTGTCCCTGTCTTGTCTGTGTCCTTCAGTATTGTCTTATGGCAGTGTGTGTGTGTCCCTCAATCTGTCTGACTTCCCTCAGTCTGTCTGTGTATGGGTTAGTGAGTGTGTGTGTGTGTGTGTCTCTCTGTCTGCACATGTGTCTGAGCACATTTGACGCTTAACCTTTGAGCTTCCGTCTTGTTTTTTTGGTCAGACGGGTGTCTTGACACCCAACATGTTTTAGAGTATCCAAATCAAACTGAGAATGGGTTAGTGTGTGTGTGTATCTCTGTACGTGAGGATGTGACGTGGACGGGAGCAAGCCATGGGGAGAGAGCAGGGAATGGGATGAGAGGAGAGAGCTCCAGTGGGGGAGCGAGCACCAGCAACGGACACGATGGGGAGAGAGCAGTGATGGTGTTTATTTGTGGTTTAGATGCGTGGAGGGAAGCTGATGATCTCAAACACAAAGAAGAGCGATGCTGGGATGTACATCTGTGTGGGCAGGAACATGGTGGGAGAGAGGGACAGTGACACCGCGGAGCTCACTGTCTTTGGTGAGTAACCTATTCCTTCCAAAAAAAAAGAAAGAAAGAAAGAAAATTTGGTCACTCACCCCAACGCTGCTTGTGGGACACTGCTGTGCGCAATCGGCTGCCGTGTTTCGCCCACAAAACACACAGTCAATCCACCTGGCAGGATATTCTGTGAAGAGCTTTGAGACGTCTCAACGACGTAATAAAGCGCTATATCGAATGCAAGGATTACTATTATTATTCTTATTATATAACCTGTGTGAACCTGCCGTCCACATTGAAACCCCGCTTCCTGTCCCCCCGCCAGGCTCCACTGCCACCGTCTCTCAGTGATCCAGTTCCTCACCGTCACCAACAAATCCCCCTTTGCACTCGGGCATCTCCCCATCTTCTCCCGCCAACTGCTCTGTTCGGCTAATTGATTGATTGATTGATTGATTAATTGATTAATTTATTGATTGATTGATGGATTCAGTTGATTTTTTTGACTCCCTCCTTCACTCTGCATTTATAAATGGCAGCCCATCGACCAGTCCTTGTTTGCTTTCCGTGTCAGCCTGGCTCAGAGTCTCACTTTGACCCCTGAGTCAAAAGGTTGTAGGTTCAAGCCCATTTGGGGACATTGAGCTCACGGTCCGAGCTGATACTCCAGTGCAGGGCTGTGGGGAGCATCTGAGATGCCACCTTTTGGACAAGGCGTTAAACTGAGATCTCGTCTCATCCGGCGGACCCATGAAAACAAAAAGGGAGCTTTTTTTTNCTCTCTCTCTCGCCGTGTCCTACAACGTGCTGTGTGCAATTGGCTGCCGGCTTTCCCCCTCGCAGCACGCAGTTACTACACTTGTGATAAAGTGCTACGTCAAGTGCAAGGATTATTATTACATCAATTGTAAATTGTATCTGAGCGATTGTCAGCCAGGATGCAGCACCCTCCCCTCTGTTCCACCATCGGTGGCCGTGCCTTCAGCCGCTACGCCCCGAAAACTCGGGAACTCTCTCCCTCAATCCCTCCGCCTTGCCCCTTCCCTCCGCATCTTCAAATCCTGCCTAAAAGACCTTCCCTTTTGATCACCTCCCCACTCCCTCTTCCCTCTGGCTCCGCTGGTGTCAAGCGCTCCGAGACACCAACCCCCGTGAAGAGTGCTGTATAAATGCGAGCTGTTGTGGTAAATGCAAGCTATTTTTGTAAAGCCTGGAAATCCTGGAAGGCGCTGGATGTGGGGTGAAATTATTATGATTATTGTATTAATGTCGTCGTTGTTCGCTGCGACAGAACGTCCCACCTTCACGAGACGCCCCATTAACCAGGTGGTTCTGGAAGAGGAGCCGGTGGAGTTCCGATGCCAGGTCCAGGGAGACCCAGAACCCACCGTCAGGTGGAGGAAGGATGATGTGGATCTTCCCAGAGGAAGGTTTGTACATCAACGGGAAGCCTCCTCCTCCCCCCCCCCCCCCCCCAACCCCGTGTCCGTGCTGGTTCTCACTCCCCCACTGGAGCTCTCTACTCTAATCCTTGGAGTGGAGGGGTGGGATGGGGGTGGGAGTTTGGTGGAGGGGAGGGGGCACATCAGGAGACCCAGAGGGAAGGGGAAAAGGGACGGACCTTTAAGGATGAGAATGAGGATGTTTAGGTCCATTCCCTGGGGGGAGTTGGAGACATTCACCTCCATTAGTTCTGGTCAGGATTCCTACCCTGACCCCAGAGGTGAAACACGACCAAATGTGTCTACAGACACAGTGACCCCTTTGTTATCATAGCCAGCTGTCATAGTGTACTCACTGTGTGTGTATGATAGTGTGCTCACTGTGTGTGTGTGTGTGTGTATATGATAGTGTGCTCACTGTGTGTGTGTGTGTGTGTATGATAGTGTGCTCACTGTGTGTGGGTGTGTGTGTGATAGCGTGCTCACTGTGTGTGTGATAGCGTGCTCACTGTGTGTGTGTGTGATAGCGTGCTCACTGTGTGTGTGTGATAGCGTGCTCACTGTGTGTGTGTGATAGCGTGCTCACTGTGTGGGTGTGTGATAGCGTGCTCACTGTGTGTGTGATAGCGTGCTCACTGTGTGTGTGTGATAGCGTGCTCACTGTGTGTGTGTGATAGCGTGCTCACTGTGTGGGTGTGTGATAGCGTGCTCACTGTGTGTTGTGATAGCGTGCTCACTGTGTGGGTGTGTGATAGCGTGCTCACTGTGTGGGTGTGTGATAGCGTGCTCACTGTGTGGGTGTGTGATAGCGTGCTCACTGTGTGGGTGTGTGATAGCGTGCTCACTGTGTGTGTGTGTGTGATAGCGTGCTCACTGTGTGTGTGTGATAGCGTGCTCACTGTGTGTGTGTGTGATAGCGTGCTCACTGTGTGGGTGTGTGATAGCGTGCTCACTATGTGTTGTGATAGCGTGCTCACTGTGTGTTGTGATAGCGTGCTCACTGTGTGTGTGATAGCGTGCTCACTGTGTGTGTGATAGCGTGCTCACTGTGTGTGTGATAGCGTGCTCACTGTGTGTGTGATAGCGTGCTCACTGTGTGTGTGATAGCGTGCTCACTGTGTGTGTGATAGCGTGCTCACTGTGTGTGTGATAGCGTGCTCAATGTGTGTGTGATAGCGTGCTCACTGTGTGTGTGTGATAGCGTGCTCACTGTGTGGGTGTGTGATAGCGTGCTCACTGTGTGTGTGTGTGTGTGATAGCGTGCTCACTGTGTGTGTGTGTGATAGCGTGCTCACTGTGTGTGTGTGATAGCGTGCTCACTGTATGTGTGTGATAGCGTGCTCACTGTGTGTGTGTGATAGTGTGCTCACTGTGTGGGTGTGTGATAGCGTGCTCACTGTGTGTGTGTGTGATAGCGTGCTCACTGTGTGTGTGTGATAGCGTGCTCACTGTGTGTGTGTGTGATAGCGTGCTCACTGTGTGGGTGTGTGATAGCGTGCTCACTGTGTGTGTGTGATAGCGTGCTCACTGTGTGTGTGTGATAGCGTGCTCACTGTGTGGGTGTGTGATAGCGTGCTCACTGTGTGTGTGATAGCGTGCTCACTGTCTGTGTGTGATAGCGTGCTCACTGTGTGTGTGTGTGATAGCGTGCTCACTGTGTGTGTGTGATAGCGTGCTCACTGTGTGTGTGTGATAGCGTGCTCACTGTGTGTGTGATAGCGTGCTCACTGTCTGTGTGTGTGATAGCGTGCTCACTGTGTGTGTGTGATAGCGTGCTCACTGTGTGTGTGTGATAGCGTGCTCACTGTGTGTGTGTGATAGCGTGCTCACTGTGTGTGTGTGATAGCGTGCTCACTGTGTGTGTGTGATAGCGTGCTCACTGTGTGGGTGTGTGATAGCGTGCTCACTGTGTGGGTGTGTGATAGCGTGCTCACTGTGTGTGTGTGTGATAGCGTGCTCACTGTGTGTGTGTGATAGCGTGCTCACTGTGTGTGTGATAGCGTGCTCACTGTGTGTGATAGCGTGCTCACTGTGTGTGTGATAGCGTGCTCACTGTGTGTGTGTGTGATAGCGTGCTCACTGTGTGTGTGTGTGATAGCGTGCTCACTGTGTGTGTGTGATAGCGTGCTCACTGTGTGTGTGTGTGATAGCGTGCTCACTGTGTGGGTGTGTGATAGCGTGCTCACTGTGTGGGTGTGTGATAGCGTGCTCACTGTGTGGGTGTGTGATAGCGTGCTCACTGTGTGTGTGTGATAGCGTGCTCACTGTGTGGGTGTGTGATAGCGTGCTCACTGTGTGTGTGTGATAGCGTGCTCACTGTGTGTGTGTGTGTGATAATGCACTCACTGAGTGACCTTGTCGGGTTCAGGCCAATGGGCAACGGGGAATGAGACCCACATCCTATCTTCATATTATAAGAAACCAGCACTGCACACAGTCACTACACTACACTGTGAGTACATAATGCTTTTAACAGCATGTCCTCTCCCCTCCTCTCCCTCTCTCTCTCTCTCTCACGCTCTATCTCTCCCCTCGCTCTTCCCCTCAGGTATGACATCAAGGATGACCACACGCTGCGGATTAAGAGGACGAGTGGGGGTGACGCGGGCACCTACACGTGTGTGGGGGAGAACCGTGTGGGCAAGGTGGAGGCTGCCGTCACTCTGACCGTGCGAGGTGTGTACCCCCACCATCCTCCTCTCCCCCCCCCCCCCATCGCTCCCACACTGACCTCGACCCCCACTTCCTCCCCACTCCCCACCTCCACTCACCAGCTTCTGGCCTCAAATGGGGTCAGAGGCACTGAGTTTTCAACGGAGGGGATCCTGGGGAGGGGGGGGGGTTGGCTGGGGGCAATCTAACCCCACTCTGCAACTGAGGGGGCAGAGTGGGGTTAGACTCCCCCCACACCCCTCTCCGTCTAACCCACTCTCCCCTCACTCCCCCTCCACCCCCAGTCTAACTCCACTCTCCCCTCACTCCCCACCAATCTAACCCCACTCTCCCTCACTCCGCCTCCAGTCTAACCCCACTCTCCCCTCGCTCCGCCTCCAGTCTAACCCCACTCTCCCCTCGCTCCGCCTCCAGTCTAACCCCACTCTCCCCTCACTCCGCCTCCAGGCTAACCCCACTCTCTTCTCACTCCCCCAGTCTAATCCCCACTCTCCCCTCACTCCCCACCAATCTAACCCCACTCTCCCCTCACTCCCCTCACAAATCTAACCCCCTCTCCCCTCACTCCCCCCACAGTCTAACCCCACTCTTCCCACTAGCGTGACGGTCTGAGATGGGGGGAGGGGGGAGTGTCCTGTGGGGTTTAATGTGCCAGAGATGTTGATGTTATATATTTATTGCAATGTTGATGTGTTGATTTCAGGTTTGAAACTCATTTTAGACCTTCTCATGAACAAAATGTTGTGTTTTTACTATCATTTGTAAAATGTATATTATTCCTCAGCTCAACTGCGTTGATCTCACACTCACTGAGGCTGTATTTAGTCATTGCACATACACACACCCTCTCAGACACACACACCGTCATACACACACACCCTCACACACACCCCTTTTCTCTCACACACACACACACCGTCACACGTGCACCCTCACACGCAACCACTCCGCGTACACACTCCCGTGCGTGCACACGCACACTCCCATACACACTCGCGCGCACACACACTAGCACAGTCACTGACACTCAGTGTCACATTGAATTGCTGTAGTCACTGTGGTGAGTGTGAGATGGTTCCCTGTGACAGAGCTGTGTGTGGGTGAGGGTGTGTGTGTGGGTGAGGGTGTGTGTGAGGGTGTGTGTGTGGGTGAGGTTGTGTGTGTGGGTGAGGTTGTGTGTGTGGGTGAGGTTGTGTGTGTGGGTGAGGTTGTGTGTGTGGGTGAGGGTGTGTGTGGGTGAGGGTGTGTGTGTGGGTGAGGGTGTGTGTGTGGGTGAGGGTGTGGGTGAGGGTGTGGGTGTGGGTGTGGGTGAGGGTGTGGGTGAGGGTGTGGGTGTGGGTGAGGGTGTGGGTGTGGGTGTGTGTGTGGGTGAGGGTGTGTGTGTGGGTGAGGGTGTGTGTGTGGGTGAGGGTGTGTGTGTGGGTGAGGGTGTGTGTGTGGGTGAGGGGGTGTGTGTGTGGGTGAGGGTGTGTGTGTGTGGGTGAGGGTGTGTGTGTGGGTGAGGGTGTGTGTGTGGGTGAGGGTGTGTGTGTGGGAGGGTGAGGGTGTGTGTGGGTGAGGGTGTGTGTGGGTGAGGGTGTGTGTGTGGGTGAGGGTGTGGGTGAGGGTGTGTGTGAGGGTGAGGGTGTGTGTGAGGGTGAGGGTGTGTGTGAGGGTGAGGGTGTGTGTGAGGGTGTGTGTGTGTGAGGGTGTGTGTGTGTGAGGGTGTGAGGGTGTGTGTGTGTGAGGGTGTGTGTGTGTGAGGGTGTGTGTGTGTGAGGGTGTGTGTGTGTGAGTGTGTGGTGTGTGTGTGTGAGGGTGTGTGTGTGTGAGGGTGTGTGTGGGTGAGGGTGTGTGTGTGTGAGGGTGTGTGTGGGTGTGTGTGGGTGAGGGTGTGTGTGTGGGTGAGGGTGTGTGTGTGTGGGTGAGGGTGTGTGTGTGTGGGTGAGGGTGTGTGGGTGAGGGTGTGTGGGTGAGGGTGTGTGGGTGAGGGTGTGTGGGTGAGGGTGTGTGGGTGAGGGTGTGTGTGTGGGTGAGGGTGTGTGTGTGGGTGAGGGTGTGTGTGTGGGTGAGGGTGTGTGTGTGGGTGAGGGTGTGTGTGTGGGTGAGGGTGTGTGTGTGGGTGAGGGTGTGTGTGTGGGTGAGGGTGTGTGTGTGGGTGAGGGTGTGTGTGTGGGTGAGGGTGTGTGTGTGGGTGAGGGTGTGTGTGTGGGTGAGGGTGTGTGTGTGGGTGAGGGTGTGTGTGTGGGTGAGGGTGTGTGTGTGGGTGAGGGTGTGTGTGTGGGTGTGGGTGTGGGTGTGGGTGTGGGTGAGGGTGTGGGTGAGGGTGTGTGTGAGGGTGAGGGTGTGGGTGTGGGTGTGTGTGTGGGTGAGGGTGTGTGTGTGGGTGAGGGTGTGTGTGTGGGTGAGGGTGTGTGTGTGTGGGTGAGGGTGTGTGTGTGTGGGTGAGGGTGTGTGTGTGTGTGGGTGAGGGTGTGTGTGTGTGTGGTTGAGGGTGTGTGTGTGTGGTTGAGGGTGTGTGGGAGGATGAAGGTGTGTGGGTGAGGGTGTGTGTGAGGGGATGTGAGGGGGTGTGTGGGTGAGGGTGTGTGTGGGCGGGTGTGTGTGGGCGGGTGTGTGAGTGCGTGTGGGTGAGTGAGGGAGTGTGTGGGTGAGCGTGTGTATGTGTGAGTGTGTGTATGTGTGGGTGTGTGTGAATGTGGGTGTGAGAGGGGCCGCGTGCGCGCCCGTGTGGTGAGGGGGCTCACGCCCGTGTGGTGAGGGGGCTCACGCCCGTGTGGTGAGGGGGCTCACGCCTGTGTGGTGAGGGGGCTCGCGCCCGTGTGGTGAGGGGACTCGCGCCCGTGTGGTGAGGGGCCTCGCGCCCGTGTAGAGCGCGGGCTCGCGCGTGTGCGCGGGAGAGGGGTGTTGCATGCTGGTGTGCGCGTGAGATCGGTGACGGTCAAGTCTGTTTGTGTCGACATATCATCCAGTCTGACTTTCATCTTTTTTTTGCTTTATAAACGTTAAATTTCCTTTGTTCGTAACGTAACCATCCACCTCATTGTGTCTCGTCTCTCCAGCACGTCCCGTCGGTAAGTATTCATCATGCTCCCCCCCCCCCCTTCCCCTCAGCATGGCAGCACGCTCCGCTCTCCGCAACCTCTCCCCATCCACCCTCCCGCTCCCCACCCAGCTCTCTCTCTCCCCACCCACATCGCTCTCTCTCTCTCTCTCTCTCTCTCTATATCTCCCCGTCCATCTTTCTCTCTCCCCGCCACCCATGTATGTGTCTTTCTTTCTCTCTATCACCCCACCCATCTCTCTCTTTCCCCACCCATGTGTGTGTCTTTCTCTCCCCACGTCCCTCTCTCTCTTATCTCCCCACCCACCCACCTCCTCCCTCTCTCTCTCTCTATCTCCCCACCCACCTCTCTCTTTCTCTATCTCCCCACCCACCTCTCTCTCCCCCACCCATGTCTGCGTGTGCGTCATTCTCCCCACATCTCACTCTCTCTCTCTGTCTCTCTCTACCCATCTGTCTCTCCTGCTCCATGCTGCAAGGTGGGGGCGGTGGGGGGAAGGGGAAGGAACACAGTATACAGCCTGTTCCTCAGATCATTCCATGCGGTTTAATAAGACACGGAGACAGGAACAGAAAAGGGATATTGGTTCTCCGCCCTCCTCACTCTGTGATTCCAGCCAGTGTTCCCACTCCCTTCCTGCACTCCGCACACCAGCCACGTAGTGTTGTGGTTTTAACGCACTCGCCTCGCAAGCGAGAGGACCCGGGTTCGATTCCCGGGTGGAGCGAAACCTTAGGCAAGTTTCCTTCCTCCTCACGCCCCTGTTTGCCTGGCAGTAAGTAGGAACCCGGTTATTAGTTGATTGGTGGATCACTTTCCGGGGCTAATAATCCGTTCAACAACAAAAAAATTTGGTCACTCAATCCACGACTGCTTGAGGGGACGCTGCTGTGCGCAATTGGCTGCCGTGTTTTGCCCACAAAATACACAGTCACTCCTCTTTACAGTATATCCTGTGAAGCGCTTCTCAACAACATGATAAGGCGCTGTATCAAATGCTAGGATTATTATTATTATTACTGTCTCAATCCCAGTAAGTATTGACTACCCCTCGGTGCGATGACATGTCACTTCTCAAGGCTGAAGATCCCGAGCTTAATCCAGTCGTTCCTCACAGCTCATCCCTCTAACCCCAGGGATCATCCTCACTGCTCACCTCCACATGGAACATGGTTCACTGTGTGTGATCCTGACACACTGAGCAGGAGAGCGAGAGGCAGGGTTGGGTGAGGGGGAGGGAGAGGGGGATGGAGTGAGAGAGAGAGAGAGAGGAGGAGGAGGAGGAGGAAGTGAGAAAGACAAGAGAAAAGAGAATGAGACAATGTGTGTGGGAGGGAGGGAGAGAGAGAAAGTTGGAGGAGGAGAAGGAGAGAGAGAGGTTTGGGACACAAAGAGAGAGAGAGAGAGAGAGGGGAGAAATGGAGAGAGGAAATAGAGAGAGGTTTGGTACATAGAAGAGATGGGGGGGAAAGCGAGGGAGAGAAAGTTGGTCGAGGAGGAGAGAGAGAGGGTGGAGGAGGGAGAAGAAAGAGAGGGAGAGAGAAAGAGAGAAAGAGACGGGGAAGAGAAATAGGGATTGAAGGGACAGCGAGAGAGAGAGAGAGGGGACACAGGATGGGGCGGAGGGGTGGTGGGGGGGGGGGGAGAGAAAGAGATTTGGAACGAAAGGCGCTTTTTGCTCAAGAGAAGAGGGTTTTATATATATATATATATATATATATATATGTATATTTATTTATTTTTTTATATATATATAAATCCGTCCAGCCCCGGGCGTGTGGGTTGTGTCATGAATTAAATATGGGGTTTGATAATCCATTTCCAGTGAAGAGCGGTGGAGTTTAATAAAGCATGAGAATGGCACCAGCCGAATGCTGTCCATTATTAAAACCCAGCAGCTTAGTGGGGTAATTGTCAAGGTAGATCCTATCAAAGCCTGCTGTGTGCGGTGTTTAAATATGCATTAATCTGTGTCTGACGATCAGATAAAAAGCCCCTCTTTGACACATACCTGAGGCTGGGGCTGCAGTTGATATTGGAACGTTCAATATTGATTTTTTTTTTTCTTTCTTGCGATGATGAAGCCAGATTTTTTTTTTCAAAAAAAAAAAAAAAAAAATAACGTGCTTTGCTTTCAAGCAGGGGATGTGTTAGTTGGGGTGGGTGGGTGGGTGGGTGGGGGGGGAGGGGGGGGTTTGGGCTGGCCGGGGGCAAGGGCTGGTTAGCACATCACCTCTGGAGGGGGGAGACTGCGATTAATGGTAACCCAGTTGGAAGATATTCTCTCTCTCTCTCTCTCTCTCTCTCCCCCCCCCCCCCCCACTCATGGGAATTGCTGGAAGCTGAGTTAGATGAGCTTTGGGCCAGTCTCCCAGCCCGCACCCCAGTCAGCGGATTGCAGGCCACAGCCAACCATTCCACGTCAAACATTCGCCAAATCTTTCCCCTCCGCAGAATTCCCATAGCTCAGTGGTCACAGCACACTTGCCTCGCAAGTGAGTGGACCCGGGTTCAATCCCAAGTTTCTTTACTCCACAAGCCTCGGTTCACCCAGCAGTTAAGTAGGGACCCGGTTGTTAGTCGATTAGCGGATTATTATTGGTAAGAATCCTTCCAAAATAAGTACATAAGTAAATAATAATAATAAGAAGAAGTTGGTCACTCAATCCACAGCTGTGTGGGATCACTGCTGTGTGCAAACTGACTGCCGCATTTCGCCTGCAAAGTACACAGTCGCTAACTTTACAGTAAATCCCGCCAAGCGGTTTGAGACGCCTCAGTGGCGTGATAGGGCGCAATATCATACACAAGGTTTATTATTATTATGAATTTGCGGGTTCTCGCTGCAGTTTCTGACGTGGCGATGGGCGAGACATCTTCCTGACCTTCTAGCCATCGTCCAGCCCTCCTCCTACCCCCCCCCCCCACCCCCGCTGCTCCGCTCTGCTCCGCTTGCTCTGAGTGTGCCTCAGCGTGTCTGTGGTGGCTAGGCTCCGGGTGTGCATGAAGGCAGTGATGACCGCCCGCCCGCTAGCGACTATTGTGATTTCCATTTTCTCTAGGAATGTGCATTGAGGCTGGCGTCACCCCAGGGCTTTGCATGTCCATAACCTCCCACCTCCTTCCGCCCCCACCCCCCACCCATCCCCTCTCCCCCCGTTACCAGCCGCCCTCGCACCCCTCAAACCCTGGGCTGCATCTCCTGACCTCGCCTCCCCTCACCTCCCCTCCTCTTCAGCGCCTTGGGACACTCTCCTGACGTTACACTTAAAGGCACTTTACGAATAAATCTTGTTGTTGACCTGACCGCACCCTCCCCCCACCGCCCAAAGATCCGCTGGTTGACAAACCGCTATGACAGAGCCAGCCTGGCAATGGCAGAACCTATCCAAATAGTCGCTCACTATCAATGACTGTCCCTCAATGTACCATTGCTCCCCTCGCCTTGCCTTGCTCTACCATCCCCTGGCTCCCATCCCTCCCCTCACTCCCCCTCCCTCCCCTCCCTTCCCCTTGCCTCGCCTCCGCTGGCTGGCTGGAGCTTGCTGTGCTGAGCCTCTCTCTCTCTCTTTCTCTCTGGTGTGGCTGCGCGGTGTCTCTGTTGCCTTGTGTAATACTGTCAGCGTTGTTCTCCTCCCCCCCCTCTCTTTCTCTCTCTCTCTCCTCCTCTTTCCCCACCCGTGGTGCCTCTCGTCTCTTTTGACATGTGCTCTGCTCACACCCCAGCTCCCCCCCAGTTTGTGGTCCGGCCGAGGGACCAGATCGTGGGGCAGGGACGCACGGCCAGCTTCCCGTGCGAGACCAAAGGGAACCCCCAGCCCGCCGTCTTCTGGCAGAAAGAGGGCAGTCAGGTGAGTGACGTCCTAAATGCTTTTTCTTGTGTCCCTGGCCTCAGCTGCTCGCTCGCTCGCGCTCTCGCTAGCTCTCAGCCCAGGAACCCGTAGCCCTCTTGTGGGGCCATCGTTTGGATGAGGCGTTATTACCCGGAGTCTCCGGAGTATAGTGGTTAGAGCGCTCGCCTCGCAAGCGAGAGGAACCGGGTTTGATTCCCGGGCAGGGCGAAACCTTAGGCAAGTTTCCTTACTCCGCACGCCTCTATTTATCTAACTAAGTAGGAAACCGGTGATTAGACGATTGGCGGATCGCTTTCCAGGGGTAATAAATCCCTCCAAAAAAAATAATAATTTGGTCTTTCAATCCACAACTGTTCGTGGGGACGCTGCTGTGTGCAATTGGCCGCCGACCGCTTCACCCACAAAAAATACACAGTCACTACACTTTACAGTACATTCCGTGAAACGCTTTGAGACGTCTCAACGACCACGATACGGCTTTATCAAATTTAAGGAATATTATGAATATTATTACACTATGAGCAAATTGTGTGAACGGCAATCTTCGGATACAATACGATCATTTATTCCGAGATGCCCTTTGTGTCCCAGAGATGATGTAAATCGTGTCATGGGAACGTGCTTTAATAGATGAGGTTGCGCAATGGATTGCCCGCCTGGATTTTGGTCGGTGTTGGCCGGTACCCCGGAGCGAGTGGCGCTGTGGGGGCAGAGGGTCAGGCGAGGGCCAGGGTGTAATTGTACAGATGTGTAAAAAAAAAGCAGCGCTGTGGTTACTGTGGACAAGACGAATGGCCGTCCACTGCCAGCTGACAAATTGCCAAAGGCGCCTGCTCTCCTCATCATGTTTACAGCCGGGCAGGAGGCTCTCGGTCAGCTTGTAATTTGCTAAGTGTTTAGTTAGCGGTCGTGCCCCGTCCTTTGAGTGTGTGGGGACGAAGAGAGTCGCATTACAACAACTTAGATTTATACAGCGCCCTTCACGTGGGCTAGCGTCATGGAGGGCTTCACAGTGATGGAGCCTGACACTGAGCCAGGGAGAGAGGGAGGGGGCAGCTGAAGCAGCCCCTCTCCAAGTCCCCGCTACCCTGTATGCAGCTGGAGGGTTTGTTGAGGGAGGGAATGGGAGGGAAAGGTGATTTCAGGGCAGGGGAGACCAGACGATGGCCTGACAATCACCATCAGTTTCTGCCACAATGACGAGAACGGCAGGAATGCGAACGACTCGCTGCGTTGCTTCCTCGAAGACCGTTAGAAGTGGGAGTGAGAAGTGCGACATCCCCTGCGAGCCAGGACAGAGGGACTCGTCCTGCAGAGTTAGGAAGGAAGGGAAGAGCGAGGGAGGTGAGGAGAGCTGTAGAGTGTGTGTAGAGTGGGAGCTCCAGTGTCAGCACCTCTTGAAGTCTCAATGAGCTTTCTTCCTCCTTCCCCAGAACCTGATGTTCCCAAACCAGGCTCGCCAGCCGTCCAGCAGGTTCTCAGTCTCCCCTGGAGGAGACCTCGCCATCAGCAACGTCCAGAGATCTGACGCCGGTTACTACATTTGCCAGGCCCTCACCGTCGCTGGCAGCATCCTCGCTAAGGCTCAGCTGGAGGTCACTGACGGTAAGCAGATCGCATAGGGTTACTGTACCTGTCTGCTACCTACTGGGTGTTCGCAAAGTCCTGTTATCCCCTCCTCCCTCCCACCCCCATGTAATTTTTTCTACAGTGCACTGAGCAACAAAAGCGTATTGGTTAGCGCACTCGCCTTGCAAGTTTTTCGTTATCCGCCCCATCGAATCTCTTCATCATTTAAAACACCTCGATCAGATCACCCCTCGACCTTCCAAACTCAAGGGAATACAGACCAAGTTTATGCAACCCTGTCCTCATTTTTTTAAACCTTTAGGGGGTTAAACCCTGAGTGGTTACTGCCATTCTGTGACCAAATAATAATAATTTGGTCACACAATCCACGACTTTTTGTGGGATGCTGCTGTGCATAATTGTCTGCTGCGTTTCACCCCACAAGATACACAGTCAATTCACTTTACTAGTATATTCTGCGAAGCGCTCAACGACATGATATCTAGTGCAAGAATTATTATCATAACAGCTGAAACGTGGAAAAATAATGATCACTGTGTTTAGAAACATTTGATTGTATTCAGCCCAAGTATTTAACCGTATTTAGATGATCTTACCGCTAGATAAACAGAGGCCACAGCCTGGAGTAAAGGAAACAGGCCTAAGGTTTCGCCCAGCCCGGGAATTGAACCCTGGTCCTCTCGCTTGAGAGACGAGTGCTCTAACCTCTGCATTGCGGGACGTGGTTGAGCCTGAAATTATTTTCTTGATCTTTAGAGAGTTGAGAGTTTGCCTGGAGCTTTAATGACTGTAAATTGTAAAGTAGAGTGGAGGGAGTTTGCTGTGTGAGATTTTCAGAGACACAGAGAGCGAGAGAGAGAGAGAGAGAGAGACCGCTTGATGACTCCAGGCTGTGACCTGGTCACGCTCCTGAGGTGACAAATGTGATGTATTTCCCTCCCAATCGTCATTTACATGTAGATTAAAAGGTCGTTGGAAAGGAATAGAAGAGCCAGTGTTTATTAATAACTGTCCAGAGACGTGGAGGCAAAGGTGGTGGTGGTGGTGGTGGTGGGAGGAGGGGTTGAGCCTGAGTCAGGGTGTGATCGGAATAGAGAGAGGGAGCGAGATATAGAGAAAGATGGTCTGGACTGACGCTTTTGAGTTCTTAATCCCAGCGCCTCCTGTCAGTGTTGTGATGGACTGCCTAGAGCTGGATGGAGATGAAATCCGTTCCACGTATCCACCCACCCTCTCCCACGACCGCTCTACCTCTACCGTCCTTTGGATGAGACGTTAAACCGAGGACCGTTAAAGATCCCATGGCGATACTCGAAAAGAGAAGGGAGTTTCTCTCTCCTGGTGTCCTGGCCGACAATCCCCCAAATACAATTGGTCAGTCACTCCACAGATGTTTGGGGACACTGCCGTGTGCAGCTGGCTGCCGCGCCTCACCCACAAAATACGATGACGTGATAAGGCGCTGTATCAAACGCAGGGGCTAAACCGGAGGGGCGCGGGCTGTCAGTGAGCGGTGAGAAGCGGGTGGATTATCGGCGACACGGCTGACGTGAGTGTTTTGCTGTCTTTCGCCAGTTTTAACAGACAGACCTCCGCCCATCATCCGGCAGGGCCCTGCTAACCAGACCCTGGGCCTGGACGCCACGGGTCTTCTGCGCTGCCAGGCCATGGGAGACCCCATCCCCACCATCAGCTGGCTGAAGGACGGCCTCAGTCTGCTGGGCAAGGACAACAGGATGTCTCTTCAGGAACTGGGCAGTCTGCAGATCAGAAACCTGCGGGTAAGTCACCTGCAGCCTATAACACAGGCCACCCCCATAACACAGGCCACCCCCATAACACAGCCCACCCCCATAACACAGCCCACCCCCATAACACAGCCACCCCCAAAACACAGGGCCAGTAACCACTGGATCAGCGTCACTGTAACATAGTCAGGTGTTAAGGTGGGGTTTCATGGTGAGCGAGCGAGCGGGTGGGTGGGTGTTAGTGGGTGAGGGTGGAGTTCACAAGGCGTGTGGTTAACACAGTGTGGTGGCTTCGGTATAGAATGGGCACACAACGGTACATCCTTCCCGAGGAGCTCAACCTCACCTGTGTGGCAGTGAGCAGCTTCTCAACATGTCGTGAATTCTCTCTCTCTGATTCTGTCTCTCTCTTTTTCTATCTGTCTAGCTCTCTCAGTCTGTCTGTCTCGCTCTCTCATTCCGTCTCTCTCTCCCTGTATCTCTCAGTCCCTGTCTCTCTCTCTTTCTCTCTCTCTCAGTCTCTCTTTACCGCCTGTATATCTTTGTCTCTCTCTCTCTCAGTTTCTCTCCGTCTGCTTCTCTGTTTCTCTCTCTCTCTCTCTCTGCCGCTCTTTCTCCCTCTGAGACAATTGCATTGTGTGAAAAATGAATCTTGTTAAACATGGAGCTGTGTCAGTTCCTGGGCCACAGTGTAAGGGTCGGCCTGAACAATATTGATCCATCCTTTCTCTGTGGGGAATGATTTGTGCGACTAATAAGCAGGGTTGGGATTCCAAACCGCTCACTCCCCATCTCTTCTCTGACGGCCTCACTATTTCACCTCACCCAAACCAAAGCCCTAAAGTCCCCAAACGATATGGTCCCCAAGTAATGTCCCCCCCCCCCGCAATCAATGTAGCTCCCAATCAATGTGCTCCCTGATATTGCCCCCCCCCCCCACTCCAACCAATAGGTCCAGTTGCAACTCATAATGCTGAATTGTGTGGGAGGCGAGGATGGGGGCGGGGGTTGGGGGGAGGCAGGCGGGTTTTGGGGGTGGGAGTGTTACAATATTTTACGGTGTGTGGAGAGGTCAGCTGGCAGGACGAATGGATTTTACACTGAGAAAATCAAGCCCAGTCTTTGGCCCCATAGCACACCTCTAAGTAGACATTTAAACTGAGGTCCCGTCTGCCTGTTCAGGTGGACGTTAAAGATCCCGTGGCACTGTTGGAAAAGAGAAGGGAGTTTCTCTCTCTCTCTCTCTCCCGGTGTCCTGGCCAACAATCCCCCAAATAAAATTGGTCACTTGCTCCATGGCTGTTTGTGGGACACTGTGCGCAATTGGCTGCCCCGTTTCGCTCACAAAATATACAGTCACTGCACTTTACAGTATCTCCCGTGAATTGCTTTGAGATGTCTTGACGCCGAGATGATGCGCAATGTCAAATGCAAGGGTTATCAGTATTGTTATTTATAACTAGGAGGGCCAGAAGGGAGAATGTTTTCACACGGAGAGCGGTGGGAGTGTGGAATTCTCTGCCTCAATCAGTTGTTGCAGCGGCAACTGTTGTACGCATTCCAAATAAGACTGGACGCACGGTTGAGGGAGAATAAAGTTGAAGGATACGGGGAAAAGGCTGGAATATGGGACTAGGGATAGGATCCAAATGAGCATTCATGTAGCATATAAACACTGGCAGGGCTGTTTCGGGAGCTGTAGCTTCTATAACTATTATAATAATCCTTGCATTTGATACAAAGCCTTATCACATTGTTGAGACGCCTCAAAGCGCTTCACAGAATGTATTGTAATTTGGATTGACTGCGTATTTTGTGGGCGAAACATGGCAGCCAATTGCGTACAGCAGTATCCCACACACAGGCATGGACTGAGTGACCAACTTCTCCCGACGTGAAAGGCATGTACAAATGTAATATTGTATTGTATCTGGGAGATTGTCAGCCAGGACACTGGGAGAGAGAAACTTCCTTCTCTTTTCCAATAGCACAATTTGTTTGGGGGGAGGGATTATTACCCCCAAAAAGCAATCCGTCACTCGACTAACAACCAGGTTCCTACTTACTGAGAGGTAAACAGAGGAGCGTGGAGTAAGGAAACTTGTCTAAGGTTTCGCCCTGCCCGGGAATTGAACCCGGGTCCTCTCGCTTGCGAGGCGAGTTCTCTAACCATTACGCTGCGGGGCTCCACTCAGTACACTACGTGAATCTATGACTCTCAGAGACTTCTGCCTTTGTTTCCTCACGAGCCTCCTGCCGAGAGATGTAATTAAACGCATTCACATATTCAGACACATTAGTGCAGAACAAAGGTTTCCAATCACAAACTGTTCAAGGAAACTGCTGATTACTAGCGCAGTCTTCACATCATATCTCCACGAACTGCCACGAGGGAGGGCAGGAGGGAGGGGAGAGAAAGAGAGGGTGGCGGGGAGAGAGAGACAGAGTAAGAGAGAGAAGGGGAAAGGGAAAAGATGGAAAGAGGAAGCGCTAATCCAGGTCAACCACAACAACTTGCATTGATACAGTGCCCCTCATGCAGGGTAGCATCTCAGAGGGCTTGACAGTGACGGAACCTGGATCCGAGCCGGAGGGAGTGGGGAGGTGACTGTTAAGCACCGGTCAAAGAGGAAGGTCTTCAGGTGCAATCTGAAGAGGGGGCAAGGCGGAGGGATTGAGGGAGAGAGTTCCAGAGTTTCAGGGGCGTAGTGGCTAAAAGCACGACCACCGTTGGTGGAGAGGACGAGGGAGAAGCAGGAGGCCAGAACCAGCCGAGCGGAGGCGGGCGGGTGGTGGAGTGGGTGAACTTATCAGGTCGGAGAGGTGGGGAGGTGCCAGGGCATGAAGGGATTTGAAGGCGAGTGAGAGGATCTTGAAATCGATCTGTTCTATAATAGGTGTCCTGTGGCTCAGTGGTTAGAGCACTCGCCTTGCAAGCGAGAGACCTGGGTTCGATTCCCAGCAGGGTGAAACCTTGGGCAAGTTTCTTTACTCCACATGCCTGATAATAATCCTTCCAGAAAAAAACCCAATAATAAATTGGTCATTTCAATCCACGACTGTTTGTGGGACACTGCTGTGCGCAATCGGCTGCTGCGTTTCGCCCACAAATATACAGTCAATTCACTTTACAGTCTATTCTGTGAAGTGCTTTGAAACGTCGGGAAGATATGAAAAGCGCTATATCAAATGCAAGGATTATTATTATTATTAATAAGGAGCCAGTCCTTCCTGGTGAGGACTGGTGTGATGGTGGGGGGGGTACGGAGAAAGAGAGAGAGAGAGAGACATGGGTGGGGGTGGGGTGGGGGAAAGAGAGAAAGAGGGACTGAGGAAGAGGGAGAGAGAGAGCGGGAAAGGGGAGAGAAGGAGGAAGTCTAATCGAGGTCAGGAGTGAGATGAAGAAAATGTTTCAATAACCAATTGTACTTATAAAACGCTCTTCACCAAGGGATGTGTCTTAGAGACACTGGGTAAGATTGGAAACAGAGAAAGGGAGAGAAGCAAAGGAGGAGGTGGCCTTAGGTGCGTCCAAAGAGGTAGGATTTGAGGGACTGAGACAGAACGGTAGAGGGAGGGAGTGGCAGATGGTGATGCGTTGGTATCATGCGACTAGCCCGAGTTACCTGAGTGGAGGGGACGAGCGGAGGAATGAGGGAGGAGGAGATGAGGATTCCCGTAACTTAATGGTTAGAGCATTCACCCTGCAAGCGAGAGGACCCGGGTTTAAATCCCGGTCGGGTCAAAACCTTAGGCATGTTTCCTTACTCCACTCGCCTGGCAGTAGGTAAAGTCGTTTGCCTACCTATAATAATTGGGATTATTCTGCTTGGAGCAAAGAAGGTTGAGTGAGGGGAGATTTAATAGAGGTGTTTTACGAGGGTTTTTGATAGAGTAGATAGGGAGAAACTGTTTCCTCGAGCGGATCTACCAGAGGACAACAGATTTATGATAATTGGCAAATGAAATTTGTTTACCGAGCGAGTTGTTACGGTCTGGAATGCACTGCCTTGAAAGGGTGTTGTGAACAGATTCGATAGTGACTTCCAAAAGGGAATTGGATAGGTACAATGCAAAATTACAAGATAAACTTTACATATGTATAGCATCTTTCACACCGGGAGGACGTCCCAAGGCACTGGACGGTACTTGAAAAGGAGGCAAATTTGCAGGGCTAAGGGGTGAGCGGGGGCAGTGGGGCTAGTCGGTAGCTCTTTCAAAGAGGCACGATGGGCTGAATGGCTGTGCTGTAGGATTCTATGGCTCTGTATCTCTATGGTTGTACGATTGTCTGCAGCATTGCCCTGGTGTAAGCATCCACTCCACCTGGTTCTGGCTGACGCCCACACTGCAGAGCTCAGCGGCAGTCAGTCTCACCCTCTCCTCGGAGCACGTCACTGACCATAAATTCATTACAAAACCGCCCTCGGCCAAAATAGAATTCATTAAGAAATTAATGTCAGCACCGCTTTAGATAAAGCAGTTATCTTGCCTGGCCTGCGACTGACAGACACGGGGCAGCCGGGCTAATGCACTACTCTTGTTGCTGGATTGAACTCTCGGTTTGAGCGGGCGTGTCTGTGGCTGGCAAGCTTCTGAGAGCAAGAGATGATGTGATGTGCCTGCGGGAATCCTGCAGAAACTTCCCAGCGTCCCTGTGCTGAAGGCTTAGCTCCTATCCTGAGTGCAGTCCCGTAGCTCAGTGCTTAGGGGTCTCACCTCGCAAGAGAGAGGACCCGAGTTCAATTTCCCCGGGCGGAGCGAAATGTTAGGCAAATTTCCTTACTCCACATGTCTCTGTTTACCCAGCAGTAAGTAGGAACCCGGTTGTTAGTCAATTGGCGGATTGCTTTTGGGGGGTAATAATCCCTCCGCAAAAAAATACTACTGTAATTTGGTCACTCAATCCACGACTGTTTGTGGGACGCTGCTGTGCGCAATTAGCTGTCGCTTTTCACCCACAAAATACAGTCAATTCACTTTACAGTAAATCCTGTGAAGAGCTTTGAGACGTCTCAACGACGTAATAAGGTGCTACATCAAATGCAACGATTATTATTATTTCATCTGTCTTTAAAAGAAGCTGAAAAACAGAGGTATCTACCCGACTGATGCCCTGCCCATAATCCCCAGCCAATCGCTCCTCGCCTTTGCGCTGAGGGTGAGCCGTTTTAAGTCTTAAATAAAGGGTTATCTTAAATTTTAACATAAAATGGTTCAGACTTAAGGGGAAATTAACTAATAATAATAATCCTTGCATTTGGTACAGTGCTTTCCACGTCTTCTAGACGTCTCAAAGCGCTTCACAGAACACATTGTAAAGTGAATTGACTGTGTATTTGGGCGAAACGCGGCAGCCAATTGCGCACAGCAGTGTCCCACAAACAGTCGTGGATTGAAAATGACCAATTTATTGTTGTTTTGTTTTAGAGGGATTATTATTAGGCGTGTGGAATAAAGAAACTTGCCCAAGGTTTCGCCCTCTGCCTGGCATTGAACCCAGGTGCCTCGCTTGCAAGGCGAGTGCGCTAACCACTGAGCTACAGGACCACAGAATTTACAGCAACGATCTGGTCCGAAATCCGTTACAAACCAACGGAATTTCAATCAATAATTATTGAATGGCTTCTGTGCTGAAATCCCCCTTTCCACCCACCCACCCAGCCACCCACTCCCATTAGCAAAATGAGCTCCTGAAAGTTGTCCACGCACCAACCTTGGTCACGGTCAAACTAGGGCGGTGGGAAACTAATCACTTGTTTGTCAGCTTGGAAGCAGGATACTCGCTGAACTATGCCGGTCTCCTCAGTCTGCTTCCTATTCCCCCCCCCACCCTTTGTGTCAGTCTGGCGCAGTGGTAGCCCTCTCGTCCCTGAGTCAGAAGGTTGTGGGTTCAAACACCAGGTCAGGACTTGGAATCACATAGTCTAACCTCGCGTTACAATGCAGTGCTGACGGTGCGTTGCGTTGTTGGATGAGACGTTAAACTGAGGTTGCGTCTGGCTGTTCAGGTGGACGTTAAAGATCCTGCGGCGCTATTCAAAAAGAGAAGGGAGTTTCTTTCTCCCGGTGTCGTGGCCAACAATTCCCCCAAATAAAATTGGTCACCCACTGCACGGCTGTTTGTGGGACATTGCTGTGCGGAATTCTCTTTGCCCCGGTTTTAATGTGTAATTTAGGAACCCGGTTGTTAGACGATTGGCGGATCGCTTTTCCGGGGGTAATAATCCATTCAAAAGAATAATAAAAAAAGAAATAATAATAAGGTCACTCAATCCACGACTGTTTGTGGGATGCTGCTGTGCGCAATTGGCTGCCATGTTTTGCCCACAAAACGTACAGTCAGTTCACTTTACAGTATATTCTGTGAAGAGCTTTGAGACATCTCGAAGACTTGATAAGGCGCTGTATCAAATGCAAGGGTTATTATTAATAACTATTATTTGCCTTGTTAATACATAACAAGTTCCGCTGTTCCTTGCAAAGAAGAAGGTGTGTTCTTTGAGCGAGACAACTTTGCTTTTGGGGCGTTTCAGGGCAAACATGTCTGAGAGCATTTCAGCAACAACTTGCGATGATATAGCATCCTTCCTGCGAGATAACGTCTCAGGTGGGCTTAACAATTGCGTAGTTTGATGCCGAGAAAGAGGAGTTGGCCGTAGGTGCGCTCAAACAGGAATGTCTTCAGGCGTGATCTGAAGACGGGCAAAGAGGGAACGAGGTGGAGGGATTGAAGCAGAGAGTTCCAGAGGGTCACGGCGTTTCACAGTTATCACTGTTATGTGTAGACGATTGCAACACAGCCATTTTCTGCAGAGATAGGTCCCTCGGCCAGGGAAGCGAATGAGTAATTGATCCGGGGGATTATCGGCCCAGGATTTCCCTGTGCTGGGAGAGCAGCAAACACGTGTCTGATGAAAGCAACCCTTGCATTTGATATAGCGCCTTATCACGTCATTGAGACGTCTCAAAGCCCTTTGCAGAATATATTGTAAAGTGGATCGACTGTGTGTTTCTGTGGGCAAAACACAGCAGCCAACTGCGCACAAGCAGTGTCCCACAAGCAAGTCGTAGATTTAGTGACCAAATTATTATTATTTTTGGGGGGGTTTATTACCCCCGGAAAGTGATCCGCCAATCAACCTAACAACCGGGTTCCTAGTTACTGCTATGTAAACAGAGGCGTGTGGAGTGAGGAAACTTGGCTAAGGTTTTGCCCTGCCTGGGCATGGGACCAAGGTTCTCTCGCTGGCGAGGCGAGTGCTCTAAACACTACGCTACAGGACTCCACATGGCTGCCTTGCCAATTGCCTTGTCTGTACCTTGCGCCCACAGCTCACAGACTCTGGAACCTACACGTGCGTAGCCACGAGCTCGAGTGGTGAGACGTCCTGGAGTGCCGTTCTGGACGTGAGAGGTAAGTAAGCCACTCGGGACCAGTTAGTATTCTTTGATTGTTGCTTCGAGAAGAGCTATGGTTACCATCGCACAGGCTCTCCATAACTCGCGCCCCCACGCCAGAGGACACTAGAACCAGAGGTCACGGCCTGCGATCAAAGCGGGTAAATTCAGAACAAATCTGGGGAAACCCTTAACTTCAGTGAACGTATGGGACAGGCACCCTCGGGAGACGGTATAAGAGGAAAGTGTTGATTCTTTCTGGAACAAATTAGATACTGTTAGGAAATAATATCTTGGGATACAATATATAGTTTAGAACATGACATGCACAAGCGACTGCCAGGATGGTGGAAGGCGAACTGGGATGGATCTGATCTTCTTTCATCGCACTTCCTATGTTGTTAATGTTATTATTCCGTTGCAGAGTCGGGGACGGGGACAGTCAGTGTGAGGACGAATCTAGAGTCATTGCCAGGGTCTCCGTCCAAACCACAAGTCACCGACGTCACCAGGAACAGTGTGACGCTGTCCTGGCTGCCTGGCTCCCGGCCTCCCTCACCCATCTCCTCCTACATCATCGAGGCCTTCAGGTATGTCAGCAAGCCCCTCTGTCACCAAGCCCTCCCTCCTTTCTTCCATCCCTCCTCCCCTCCCTCCCTTCCTCCTTTCTTCCATCCCTCCTTCCCTCGCTCCCTCTCTCTCTTCCTCCCTCCTTTCTTCGATCCTTCCCTCCCCACCTCACTCACTCCCTCTCTCTCCCTCCCTCCTCGGTGTGATTTGCGCGGGTGATTTCCATGGTGTGATTTAAGATTCCCTGTTCTTTCTTCAGCCAGTCAGTGAGCAACAGCTGGCAGACGGTGGCGGACCATGTGAAGACCACCCTGTTCACGGTCAGAGGCCTGAGACCCAACACCATCTACCTATTCATGGTGCGGGCCATCAACACTCATGGCATCAGCGACCCCAGCCCCATGACAGACCCCGTCCGCACACAAGGTAAACACCTGCCTCCTCCTCCCTTATTGTTTCCTCTGACCATCTGAGCAACGAGGCACAAGACGGACAGAAGAGTGAGGAAAGGCAATGGAATCCATGTTTATAAATAGGAACCAAGGAATGGAACTACGACAACAGCATCAACTTGCACTTACACAGTGCTCTTCTCATGGGGCGGTGTCTCAGAGCACTTCACAGTGGCGGAGCCTGATGCTGAGCTGGGGGGGTGGGGGGGGTGGATTTGGGTGGAGGGAATGACCGTAAGCACGGTCGAAGAGGAAGGTCTTCAGTCGTGATCTTAAAGAGGGGATGGAGGGGGCAAGCTGGAGGGATTGAGGGAGAGAGTTCCTGTGTTTTGAGTGTAGGAAGCGAGGGGAGAGTGGGGTTGGACTGGGGCGGGGGAATGAGGGGAGAGTGGGGCTAGACTGGGGGGGAATGAGGGGAAAGTGGGGTTAGACGGGGGGAGTGAGGGGAGAGAGGGTTATACTGGAGGGAGTGTGGGGTTAGACTGGGGGGAGGGAGGGGAGAGTGGGGTTATCCTGGGGGCAGAGTGGGGTTAGACTGGGTGGGGTGAGGGGAGAGTGGGGTGAGACTGGGGGAGTGAGGGGAGAGAGGGGTTAGTTTGCTGGCAGGCAGTGGTGGACCATATGAAAGAGGAGATACTGCCAAACTAATTTACTGGTTTTCCTTGACGGAGTGACAAAGGAGCTTGATAAGGGTAAGGCTGTGGATGTTGTATATCTGGATCTCAGTATGGCCTTTGATGCAGTTCCTCATGAAAGGCTGGTACTGAAAATAAAAGGGAATCAGAGGAAGTATCTTGCAATGGATGCGTAACTGGTTGACCGATAGAACCCAGAAGGTGGTGGTCCAGGGAATGTCATCAGTCTGGGAGAATGTTACCAGGGGTGTTCCACAGGGCTCTGTTTTGGGCCGTCTTTTATTCAACATCTTCATGAACGACCTGAATCTAGGAGTCACAAGCACAGTGGCTAAATTTGCGGATGACGCAAAGCTAATGAAGGTGGTTGACCGCAAAGATGAACAGGATAGGTTACAATAGGACTTGAACATTATTGGGCAGATCGATGGCAAATGAAATTTAATGCAGAGAAATGGAAAGTGCTTCACGTGGGGACAAAAAAAATCCGGGAAGGAGCTATTATTTAACGGTAAGAAAATAATCTGTACAGAAAATGAAAAGGACCTGAGCATCCTGATTGATAATAAATTGAAGCTATCACAGCAGTGCTCGGTAGCAGTGAGTAAGGCAAACCAGACGCTAGGCTATATTAAAAGGGCAATATCAATCTGAAATAGTGGGGTAATTCTGCCACTTTATAAATCACTGGTGCCACCGCACTTGGAATATAATGTGCAGTTCTCGTCACCGCATTATAAAAAGGATATTGCAACGATTGAGAGGATGCAGAGGAGGGCAACCAAACTGACTGATGGGGTGATGGGTCTGGACGACGAGGAACGATTAGATTAACCGGGCGTGTTCACACTGGAGAAGAGAAGGTTGATGGGGCGATATGATCACGGTCCTTAAGATTCTGAGGGGAACTTGGATAACGTAGACCCTGATGAGATCTTTTATCTTGTACTGAACGGTAGAACCAGAGGACCAGTCCTGCGATTGAAGGTGGGGGGTAAATTTAGAACAAACATGTAAACCACTACTGCGGTGCACGAGCAATAAACTCGACTGTGTCAGGAGGTTGCGGGGGTTCGAGCCCTATGTCGGGGACTTTGAGCTCACAGTCCAGGCTGACGCTCCAGGGCGGTGCTGAGGAGAGAGAGCGCCGTATTGTCAGAGACGCCATCATTTGGATGAGACGTTCAGCTGAGGTCCCGCCTGGTGCCTGTTCAGGCAGATGTGAAAGATCTCGCAGCGCTATTCGGAAAGAGAAGGGAGTTTCTTTGCTCTCGGTGACGGGAATGGAGTCTGAGGGAGCTGCGATGTGTGAATCAATGGAGAGGCAATCTTTTGTTTCCTTTCACACTCTCTCTCTCTTTCTCTCTCTCTCCTGCAATCTGTTTCTCTGCGTTCCGGTGCCGAGAGAGACTCTGATTTCCTGAAATGATTGCACCAGCGGGCTTGGGGGAGGAAATGAATGGACGGAAACAGCAGCCCTTTGAGAGCAGCCACATAGGATACAAACACAGCCTCTCGCTCTCTCTCTCTCTCTCTCTCTCTCTCTCTCTCTCCATGGACACGCTAATCCGTCAAGTTAAAAATCCTTTGTGTGTAAAAAAAATTGTGGGTTCTTTCTGCGCTTCAGAAGATAAATTATCCAGGGGAAAGTCTGGTGCTGTCAGGCTGGTGTGTGTCTCAGGGCTGGCTCCTGTTTATTAACAATAATAAACCCTGCATTCGACACGGCGCCTTATCACGTCGTTGAGACGTCTCACAGCGCTTCACAGGATATACTGTGAAGTGGAGTGACTGTGTACTTTGTCGGCGAAACGCGGCAAGACAGTTCGCGAGCAGCAGTGTCCCACAAACAGCCGTGGTTCGTGGAGCGAACGACCAATTTTATTTGGGTGGATTGTCGGCCAGGACACAACCGGGAGAGAGAGAGAGACTCCCTTCTCTTTTCCAATAGCACCGCGGGATCTTTACCGTCCACCTGGAAAGGCGGACGGGACTTCGGTTTAACGTCTCATCCAAAGAGCTTCACGGAATATATTTCGCCCACAAAATCTACAGTCAATTCACTTTGAGGCGTATTCTGTGAAGCGCTTTTAGACGTCTCGAAGACGCGATAAGGCGCTGTATCAAATGCAAGGATTATTACTATTATACTGTAAAGTGTAGTGACTGTGTATTTTGTGGAGGAAACGCAGCAGCCAATTGCACATAGTGGTGTCCCACAAACAGCCGTGGGTCGAGTGACCAGATTTTTTGGGGGATGAATTATTACCCGGAAAGCCATCCGCCAATCAACTAACAACCGAGTTCCTACTTATTGCCCGGTAAACAGAGACGTGTGGAGTAAGGAAACTTTGCCTAAGGTTTCGCCCCGCCCGGGAATCGAACCCGGGTCCTCTCGCTTGTGATTCGAATGCTCTACAGATAACAACTCCCTGCGGCAGTGTTTACGCTGGCTGTTCTGACCCCTTCCCTCCCCGTTGTGCTTTGTGCTGACAGATATCACCCCCCCGGCTCAGGGAGTGGACCACCGTCAGGTACAGAGAGAGCTGGGGGACGTCATAGTGCATCTGCACGCCCCCGTCGTGCTCACGCCATCCAGCATTCAGGTCACCTGGACTGTAAGTGACACCCTCACCCCCTCGCTTTCTGCCACCCCCTCTGTCTCACTCTCTCTTTCACTCTCTCAGTGATTATCTCTCTCAATCTCTGTCTCTCAGTCTGTGAGTCTCAGTGAGACGGTTTATCTGTGTCTCTCTCAGTCTCTCTCTGTGTCTCTTTCAGTCTCAGTGAGTCTCTCTCTCTCTTTCTCTCTCTCTGTTGGCCAGGTGGACAGTCAGTCACAGTTTATCCAGGGTTACCGGGTTCTGTACCGGCAGACCCCGGGCCCCCAGGGTCCCCCGGCCTGGCAAACCCAGGACGTGACGGTGACCAGTGAACGCAACACAGTGCTGACGGGCCTGAAGAGGGCCACGGGCTATGAGATCAAAGTGCGGCCCTACTTCAATGACTTTCAGGGCATCGACAGTGAGACCAAGACAGCCCGCACCTCGGAGGAGGGTGAGCGATAGAGAGAACCCCAAAACTGACCCTCTACCCCAAACTCACATCCTCTACCCCCAAACTCGCATCCCCTACCCCCAAACTCGCATCCCCTACCCCAAACTCGCATCCCCTACCCCAAACTCGCATCCCTACCCCCAAACTCGCATCCCCTACCCCCAAACTCGCATCCCCTACCAACAAACTCACATCCGTACCCACAAACTCGCATCCGTACCCACAAACTCGCATCCGTACCCACAAACTCGCATCCGTACCCCCAAATGGTCACCTCCTGTACCCCCAAATGGTCACCTCTTGTACCCCCAAATGGTCACCTCCTGTACCCCCAAATGGTCACCTCCTGTACCCCCAAATGGTCACCTCCTGTACCCCCAAATGGTCACCTCCTGTACCCCCAAATGGTCACCTCCTGTACCCCCAAATGGTCACCTCCTGTACCCCCAAACGGTCACCTCCTATACTCCCAAACCTTCACACCCTGTACCCCAAAAATATCACTCCTGTACACCCAAACTGTCATCTCGTACCCCAAACTATCACCGTGTTCCCCATGTTTCCTTAAGTTTACCATGGTTGTGCTGAGGGTCAGGCTGACTGTGGTTCAGTCTCTGTCACTGTGTGTGAGGGTGGACACAGCACTGTGAACCTTGATCCACACCGGCTGATGACCAATGGCCAGTACGTTGCGTGTGAGTGTATGTGCGCGAGTGTATGTGCGTATGTGTGTGCGAGTGTATGTATGTGTGAGCGAGTGCATGTGAGTGTGTGTGCACAAGTATGGGTGAGTGTATGAACGTGTGTGTGTGCGCGCGCACGTGAGTGTGGGTGAGTGTGTGTGCATGAGTGTATGTGAGTGTGTGTGTGCACAAGTATGGGTGAGTGTATGAATGTGTGTGTGTGTGCGCACGCGAGTGCGAGTGAGTATGTATTTGAGTGTGTGTGCAAGTGTGGGTGAGTGTATGAGTGTGCGTGTGTGTGCACGAGAATGCGGGGGAGTGCGTGGGGGAGTGTGAGTGTGCATGTTCGTATGTGTGTGAGTTTGTGTGTGTGTGTAACTGACTGAGTGTGTGTGAGTGTGACTGTGTGAGTGTGCGTTAAGCTGAATGTGACAGTGTGCAGACGGTGTTAATGTCTCTCCCACTTTTGTGCCCCGCGTTTGCCCAGCTCCGAGCGCCCCCCCGCAGTCCGTCACCGTACAGACTGTGGGCAACCACAACACCACGAGCATCAGCGTGTCCTGGGACCCTCCTCCCGCCGAGCACCAGAATGGCCTCATCCAGGAGTACAAGGTGAGAAACGGTGATAGCCAGCCCTGGGGTTAGTTGACACGGTGACATGGAAAAACAGGGCTGAGTGCGCTAACCTCACAGGTGAGAGGACCTGGGTTTGATTCCTGGGTGGGGAGAAACCTTAGGCAAGTTTCCTTACTCCACACGCCTCTATTTACCCAGCAGTAAGTAGGAACCCAATTGTTAGTCAATTGGCGGACCAGCCCGGCTACGGCATCTCATTGGCAGATCACAACAAGTTCAGTAATGGTCAGTCGCTCACTCCGCACTCTTCATCTGCGCTCTCCGCACCCTCATCTCAATCCTCATCTCCTCAATTCTCACCTCCTCAATCCTCACCTCAATCCTCACCCCAATCCTCGACCCTCCCCTCCTCTCGCCTCTCCTCCTCACTCCTCCCCTCCTCAATCCTCACCTCAATCCTCCCCTCCTCAATCCTCACCTCCTGAACCGTCACCTCCTGAACCCTCACCCTTCTACTCGCCCTTCCCCTCTTCAGTCGGCCGCTCCTCACTCCTATCCTCAACACAATTCTCCCCTGCCCGGCTGATCGCAACAAGTTCAGTAACAGTCAGTCACTCACTCCAGACACTTCATCTGCTCACCCTCCTCACTCCTCACCCTCTCTCTTCCCCTCTTCACTCCTCACCCTCACTTCACTCCTCCCCTCCTCGCTCCTCACCATCAGAATCTCCTCCCCTTCCTCAGGGATGGGTGGGTGGGTGTGGGCACACACAGCTCCTGTTAACCTTACACTTGAACTATGTCTAATGTTCCACTCTTCACATTACAGAGTCTTCGTCTTCATTAGAGGAAATTGTTGGAGGATTTTTGGACGGTGGGGGTTGGGGTGGTTGTTGTCCAGTGTGTTGGGACCGGGCTGATGTTGGGAGGATATTGGGGGTAGTTGTTGGGGTGGAGGGGGGTGTTGATGATTGGGGATTATTCTTGTGGGGTATTGGGAGTTATGTCTGAGAGCATTTCAGCAACAACTTGCGATGATATAGCATCCTTCCTGCGAGATAACGTCTCAGGTGGGCTTAACAATTGCGTAGTTTGATGCCGAGAAAGAGGAGTTGGCCGTAGGCGCGCTCAAACAGGAATGTCTTCAGGCGTGATCTGAAGACGGGCAAAGAGGGAACGAGGTGGAGGGATTGAAGCAGAGAGTTCCAGAGGGTCACGGCGTTTCACAGTTATCACTGTTATGTGTAGACGATTGCAACACAGCCATTTTCTGCAGAGATAGGTCCCTCGGCCAGGGAAGCGAATGAGTAATTGATCCGGGGGATTATCGGCCCAGGATTTCCCTGTGCTGGAGAGCAGCAAACACGTGTCTGATGAAAGCAACCCTTGCATTTGATATAGCGCCTTATCACGTCATTGAGACGTCTCAAAGCCCTTTGCAGAATATATTGTAAAGTGGATCGACTGTGTGTTTCTGTGGGCAAAACACAGCAGCCAACTGCGCACAAGCAGTGTCCCACAAGCAAGTCGTAGATTTAGTGACCAAATTATTATTATTTTTGGGGGGTTTATTACCCCCGGAAAGTGATCCGCCAATCAACCTAACAACCGGGTTCCTAGTTACTGCTATGTAAACAGAGGCGTGTGGAGTGAGGAAACTTGGCTAAGGTTTTGCCCTGCCTGGGCATGGGACCAAGGTTCTCTCGCTGGCGAGGCGAGTGCTCTAAACACTACGCTACAGGACTCCACATGGCTGCCTTGCCAATTGCCTTGTCTGTACCTTGCGCCCACAGCTCACAGACTCTGGAACCTACACGTGCGTAGCCACGAGCTCGAGTGGTGAGACGTCCTGGAGTGCCGTTCTGGACGTGAGAGGTAAGTAAGCCACTCGGGACCAGTTAGTATTCTTTGATTGTTGCTTCGAGAAGAGCTATGGTTACCATCGCACAGGCTCTCCATAACTCGCGCCCCACGCCAGAGGACACTAGAACCAGAGGTCACGGCCTGCGATCAAAGCGGGTAAATTCAGAACAAATCTGGGGAAACCCTTAACTTCAGTGAACGTATGGGACAGGCACCCTCGGGAGACGGTATAAGAGGAAAGTGTTGATTCTTTCTGGAACAAATTAGATACTGTTAGGAAATAATATCTTGGGATACAATATATAGTTTAGAACATGACATGCACAAGCGACTGCCAGGATGGTGGAAGGCGAACTGGGATGGATTCTGATCTTCTTTCATCGCACTTCCTATGTTGTTAATGTTATTATTCCGTTGCAGAGTCGGGGACGGGGACAGTCAGTGTGAGGACGAATCTAGAGTCATTGCCAGGGTCTCCGTCCAAACCACAAGTCACCGACGTCACCAGGAACAGTGTGACGCTGTCCTGGCTGCCTGGCTCCCGGCCTCCCTCACCCATCTCCTCCTACATCATCGAGGCCTTCAGGTATGTCAGCAAGCCCCTCTGTCACCAAGCCCTCCCTCCTTTCTTCCATCCCTCCTCCCCTCCCTCCCTTCCTCCTTTCTTCCATCCCTCCTTCCCTCGCTCCCTCTCTCTCTTCCTCCCTCCTTTCTTCGATCCTTCCCTCCCCACCTCACTCACTCCCTCTCTCTCCCTCCCTCCTCGGTGTGATTTGCGCGGGTGATTTCCATGGTGTGATTTAAGATTCCCTGTTCTTTCTTCAGCCAGTCAGTGAGCAACAGCTGGCAGACGGTGGCGGACCATGTGAAGACCACCCTGTTCACGGTCAGAGGCCTGAGACCCAACACCATCTACCTATTCATGGTGCGGGCCATCAACACTCATGGCATCAGCGACCCCAGCCCCATGACAGACCCCGTCCGCACACAAGGTAAACACCTGCCTCCTCCTCCCTTATTGTTTCCTCTGACCATCTGAGCAACGAGGCACAAGACGGACAGAAGAGTGAGGAAAGGCAATGGAATCCATGTTTATAAATAGGAACCAAGGAATGGAACTACGACAACAGCATCAACTTGCACTTACACAGTGCTCTTCTCATGGGGCGGTGTCTCAGAGCACTTCACAGTGGCGGAGCCTGATGCTGAGCTGGGGGGGTGGGGGGGTGGATTTGGGTGGAGGGAATGACCGTAAGCACGGTCGAAGAGGAAGGTCTTCAGTCGTGATCTTAAAGAGGGGAAGGAGGGGCAAGCTGGAGGGATTGAGGGAGAGAGTTCCTGTGTTTTGAGTGTAGGAAGCGAGGGGAGAGTGGGGTTGGACTGGGGCGGGGGAATGAGGGGAGAGTGGGGCTAGACTGGGGGGGAATGAGGGGAAAGTGGGGTTAGACGGGGGGAGTGAGGGGAGAGAGGGTTATACTGGAGGGAGTGTGGGGTTAGACTGGGGGGAGGGAGGGGAGAGTGGGGTTATCCTGGGGGCAGAGTGGGGTTAGACTGGGTGGGGTGAGGGAGAGTGGGGTGAGACTGGGGGAGTGAGGGGAGAGAGGGGTTAGTTTGCTGGCAGGCAGTGGTGGACCATATGAAAGAGGAGATACTGCCAAACTAATTTACTGGTTTTCCTTGACGGAGTGACAAAGGAGCTTGATAAGGGTAAGGCTGTGGATGTTGTATATCTGGATCTCAGTATGGCCTTTGATGCAGTTCCTCATGAAAGGCTGGTACTGAAAATAAAAGGGAATCAGAGGAAGTATCTTGCAATGGATGCGTAACTGGTTGACCGATAGAACCCAGAAGGTGGTGGTCCAGGGAATGTCATCAGTCTGGGAGAATGTTACCAGGGTGTTCCACAGGGCTCTGTTTTGGGCCGTCTTTTATTCAACATCTTCATGAACGACCTGAATCTAGGAGTCACAAGCACAGTGGCTAAATTTGCGGATGACGCAAAGCTAATGAAGGTGGTTGACCGCAAAGATGAACAGGATAGGTTACAATAGGACTTGAACATTATTGGGCAGATCGATGGCAAATGAAATTTAATGCAGAGAAATGGAAAGTGCTTCACGTGGGGACAAAAAAAATCCGGGAAGGAGCTATTATTTAACGGTAAGAAAATAATCTGTACAGAAAATGAAAAGGACCTGAGCATCCTGATTGATAATAAATTGAAGCTATCACAGCAGTGCTCGGTAGCAGTGAGTAAGGCAAACCAGACGCTAGGCTATATTAAAAGGGCAATATCAATCTGAAATAGTGGGGTAATTCTGCCACTTTATAAATCACTGGTGCCACCGCACTTGGAATATAATGTGCAGTTCTCGTCACCGCATTATAAAAAGGATATTGCAACGATTGAGAGGATGCAGAGGAGGGCAACCAAACTGACTGATGGGGTGATGGGTCTGGACGACGAGGAACGATTAGATTAACCGGGCGTGTTCACACTGGAGAAGAGAAGGTTGATGGGGCGATATGATCACGGTCCTTAAGATTCTGAGGGGAACTTGGATAACGTAGACCCTGATGAGATCTTTTATCTTGTACTGAACGGTAGAACCAGAGGACCAGTCCTGCGATTGAAGGTGGGGGGTAAATTTAGAACAAACATGTAAACCACTACTGCGGTGCACGAGCATAAACTCGACTGTGTCAGGAGGTTGCGGGGGTTCGAGCCCTATGTCGGGGACTTTGAGCTCACAGTCCAGGTTGACGCTCCAGGGCGGTGCTGAGGAGAGAGAGCGCCGTATTGTCAGAGACGCCATCATTTGGATGAGACGTTAAGCTGAGGTCCCGCCTGGTGCCTGTTCAGGCAGATGTGAAAGATCTCGCAGCGCTATTCGGAAAGAGAAGGGAGTTTCTTTGCTCTCGGTGACGGGAATGGAGTCTGAGGGAGCTGCGATGTGTGAATCAATGGAGAGGCAATCTTTTGTTTCCTTTCACACTCTCTCTCTCTTTCTCTCTCTCTCCTGCAATCTGTTTCTCTGCGTTCCGGTGCCGAGAGAGACTCTGATTTCCTGAAATGATTGCACCAGCGGGCTTGGGGAGGAAATGAATGGACGGAAACAGCAGCCCTTTGAGAGCAGCCACATAGGATACAAACACAGCCTCTCGCTCTCTCT